AAGTTTTCTTAATAAGTTAAAAAAAAAAAAATATATATATATATATATACACAACAGGACAAATGCAATAGTGACTCCAATTATTTTCTCTTAATTAGAGTCAAGGTCAGGCTCGTGGCCTACTGACTATGGGAGTCAATTCCCACATGGCTGGCTGACCAGGCAGTTTGAATCCCAGCCCTGGTGGCCTGAAAAGCATGCTCAATATCTCACCAGGAGGAATGCCCAAAACCCTACAGTATGGAGAAAACTGTGGTATGACCACACCCCACTGAAGGAAATTTTCTTACCCCCTCTATCTCTGGTCAGCACACACAATCTCTGACAAGGAAAAAGAAATCTAGAGTGAAATACACTATTACGAATGTCTTTTTTTCACAGATACATATTTTCTAAATTTGCAAGTTATTTTTACAATGAAACCTATTTTTTAATTTTATAAAATTATTTCATTTTATTTATTTATTCCTTTTTTGTATGTGTAGAGAGTTTTTTGCTTTCTTTAGGTCAAGTGCACTCATCAGAGAGACAGAGACAGAAAGACAGAAATCACACCCCAGGGGCATGGCTACGAAGCAATCTCTTTTCCTCCATTCTCTTCTTGGCATCTTGAGCATGCATGCACATACACTCAGTGTGATTTTAAGCCGCCAAGTCCAGGACTCGAACCATGGTCAATTATGTGGAAATCCAGCAACGTAACCATTATACCGTATGTTGGTCCCTATTTATTCACTTATTTTAATTCACCAGAGAGTGAGAAAGCAAGCTGCCAAGTTTGGGACTAAAACCATGGTTAGTCATGGAGTCCAGCGCCCCCACCACAATGCCACCTACTGGCTCCCAACAATGAAAATGTTTATAATTCAACTTAAAAGCAATCCAAGTATTAGAAAACTGCCACATGTGGGCAAGTAGGTGGTGTGGTGGTTAAGGGCGCTGGATTCCCACATGGTCAATTGCAGTTCAAATCCCAGACTTGGCAGCTTATTTTCTCACTTGCTCTCTCACTCTGCCCCTCTCTAATAAGTAAAAAATAAAGTTAAATAAAATAATACTTTTTAAAAAAAGAAAGAAAGAAAACTGCCTGACCATAGCTGACAGTGAAGAACAATTCAGAGAAAGAAAAGCAGATGGGTCTCTTTTAACATACATCACTCTAATCAAAACAGGCTAACTTAGCCAGAATCACCGAAAAGTGGTCAAAGCTGGACCAGCAGGTGGCACGGTGGTTAAGGCACTGGATCCCACATTTCCGACTGCACAGGTTCCAGTTCAAGACTCAATGGCCCCAAAAAACTCACTGAGCACATGTGCCAAAAATCTGAGAGAACTGAGAAGAGATTAGAGATGACTTCTCACTTATTTTTTTCTCTCTCTCTTTCTCAGCCAGGGCATGCACATATCCCATGGCAAAAGCAAACCTGAGAGAACCAGCAGTTAGTGTAATGGCCATGTCGCTGGACTCCCACGTAGTCGACCGCAGTTCGCGTCCCGGACCTGGTGGCTTAAAACTCACGCTGGGCGTGTGTGCTTGCGTGCCCAAGATCCCGAGAGGAGAATGGAGGAGAAGGGATTGCGGCGTGACCATCCCCCCTGGGGGGTGATTTCTTGCTTTCTGTCGCTATGTCTCTCTCTATCTGGCAAGCGCACGCACCCTATAGTGAAAAACCTCTCCCAAAAAAAAGCAAGCCTGAAACAAAAAATTTTATTAATTTTTTTTAATGATAAAATTTAGGGCCTGCCTGTGTCCTGGTTTAAGTTTATTCAGCTGGAACCCACATAGGCAACTACTCGGTTTGAGTCAGATCTGGTATCCTGAAAAACTCACAGGAAAGGTGTGTATGCGTGTCCAAAATCCATAAAGGAAGGCGAGATGGAGAAGGGATTGTGACATGACCATGCCCCATAGGAGTGCTTCCTTTTTCCTCCCACCTCCCACCCTCCCTTCCTACTTCCTTTTCTTCTTCTTCACTTCTCTCCCTCTCATAAGAATACATACTCCCTGGCAAAAAAAATTTTTTAAATGGTGAAAGTTGGCCCAGCCACAGTGGTACAGTGTACAAGGTTCTGCAATGCTAGAAGACATACGGAAGACCAGGACGTGGTTCCTGGGTCAACCTGGGCCACAATCTTGGTTAACTGAGAAAGACAGGGTGGAATGTAACTTTTGACACTGAGGGCACTTCTGTCTGCCTATCTTGGCGGGTGGGGGGACTTTAGGACTGGTTTTAGTAGCACAGTGGTTAAATACTATGCATAGAAAGTCAGATCCTACATGACCACAGTTCAAATCCCAGCCCCAGCAGTTTGAAACATGTGGTTATGTATGCATGCACGCATGTAGCCAGGATCCTAACAGGATGAAGCAGCGAGGCAAAAGGGATGGATTGCAATGTGACCATCCTGCAATGAGGGGTGCTTTTGCTTTGTCTCCGTAAGCTGAAGTTGAGAACAGATCATGGCTTCGAGATCCTATTGAGGGTATACCTTCCTATCTCTCAAGAAATACACTTATCTGGGAACCAGCAGATGCTGTAATGGTTATGTTGCTGAACTCCCACAAAGTCAACCACAGTTCGAGTCTCATGGTGGGCATGTGTGCATGCATGCCCAAAATTCTGAGAGGAGAATGGAGAACGGACTGTGGCAGGTCCATCCCCTCTGGGGAGTGATTTCTCACTATCTCTGTCTCTGACTCTCTGGAAAGTGTAAGCACACACCCTACAGGAAAAAAACAACAAACCTCTCAAAAAAAAAAAAAAAAAAAAACTACTTATTTTAAAAAAGGTAAAACTATACAGCAAATTTTTAGAAATAATTCTATTGTGGGGGCCAGCTGGTGGCATGGTGGTTAAAGCGCTGGACACGTCCACATGGCCAGCCGGGTTCAAGTCTCGGACCTAGTGGCTTGTTTTCTCACTTTCTCTCTCTTCGGTCATAGTTAAATAAATGAATTAAGTTAAATAAATAAAAATAAATATTTCTTTTTTTAAAAAAAGGAAAGAAAAAAAGAAATAAGAGGACCAGAAGGTGGCCCTGCGGTTAAGGTACTGGATACTTCCACATGGCAGACCATGGTTCGAGTCCTGGACATGGTAGCTTGCTTTCTCACTTTCTCTCTCTCTGGTCAAATTAAAATAAATGAAAGAACAATTAATTCATTAATTCCTTTAAAAAAGGAAATAATTCTATTGTGATTAAAGTTTAAATACTGATAAATTATACTTGGTTCATCATTTAAAGCTATTAAGATCGTAAGTCTCTAATTTTCCCCAACGTCTAAAAGATCTACATTCTTTTTCCGTAAAAAATACATAGAAACAATATAATCTAGAATATAAAGTGAAGCTGAAACTAAGTCAGATTTTTCGAATAGACTCTCAAAATGCCCCCCAAAACTATCAAATATTTATTTTCCAACATTCCTTCCTCATCAATCCCCAAGAGGGAGGGAAGAACAACCTAGACCTTAGCAGCAAGAATCCTGAAATTTAAATAATTAAAGCAAACACACACACACAAAAAAAATCCTTGGTACTGACCTAGCAGTACCAAGATGGTGTGGTGATTAAGGTGTCTAGCTCCCACGGGGCAAAATGAGCAGCTGAGTCCTAGACCTAGCAGCTTTGAAAAAAAAACATGCCAGGTGCATGTCCAAAATCCTGAGAGAATGGAGAAAGGATTATGGCGTAGTCATCCTCCATTAGAAATGCTTCTCACTTTCCCTGCTTCTCTCTCTCTCTCTCTCTCTCTCTCTCTCTCTATATATATATATATACACACCCTATAGAAAAATTTTTTTATAAGCATACACACCCTATAGAAAAATTTTTTTAAAAAGTCCCTGGTGCTTAAGCAAATTTTAGGTAAAATCATCTAGCTACAAAGAACTGGTTTTTTGCTCTATTGCAAACTAGCTTAAACCAGCAAACTAACTGTGACCATAATGATCCTCTAGTCTTTGCCTATGGCCTCTCCTTGCCTGTTGACATTTCTACACTTCTGTGACTAAATCTCTTACTTCAGAGCTTCAAAGACTTCCAGAAACCTACCATGTCAGCCCCAGCCTAGTGTCTTGTGGCACCCAAGAAATAGACTTTCCACCCTTTCTCCAAAAGACTCGACCTCACAAACAAGAGAAGAACATCTTTACCACCTCCTCAATCTCCATTATGTAACACATCCAGGGATTACACATTACAGAATCCTTCTAATTAAGCCTGCGATGTAAGCCATACTAGAAATGAGAAAAAAGGAGACTCAAATCTTAAGAGCATGTTCTAGGACCAGCAGATGGTGTAATGATTACAACGTTGGACTGCAACATGCTGGACTGCAGTTAGGAGCCCGGACTCAGCAGCTTAAAACTCAAGCATATGTGCCCAAAAATCCCAAAAGGAAAATGAAGGAAGGACTATGCAGCCAACCCCCTGAAGGGTTGATTTCTGGCTATCTCTCTGTTTGTGGGGGGTGGGGGGTGCATGTTCTTCAAGCTCTGTGAGCTTTGCTTCATACCATGCCAACTCTTTAAAAATTACTGTGAAATTACTGTGGGCCTACAATCTCCACTACACCCCTACAATACCTAGTTTCCAATTCAGACAGCTCATAGCAAGCTTCCATTAGTAAAAAAAAAAAAAACTCTCTATCCAATCATTTGAGTTGTCTGTCAAAAGTTCTTAACAGTGGGCTGGCAGGTGGCATGATGGTTAGGGGCACTGGACTCCCATATGGCTGACAGTGGTTCACGTTCCGGACCTGGTGGCGTGCTTCCTCGCTTTCTCACTCTCAGTCTCTAACTGTCCCTTCTCTGGTAGAAGTAAAATAACTAAAAACAAAAACAAAAGGTCATAATGGCCATACTTATAGTTTTCTGGGGGGGAAAAAAAATACTTACTTTCAGTTTTGCTTTATTAAATGCACATACAGAAACTTGATAAGAAGAATGCCCCATGTCTACAAAAACTACATTTCTTGGTTTCTCTTCTAAGGCAGGAAGATCTTGCTTATAAATTCCATATGCAAGAGCAACTATGCAAGAAAAAAAGTAAATTCAACATAGTATCACTTAAATTCATTCAAATCAGAAAAAACAGGTTTTACATATAATGAATAAGACCATATTACATATTGTTTTAGACAGAATCAAATTCTTTATAACATTAACTTTGTAACATTAACATATAAAGAATTAAATGCTGACATACACTTAGGCTTCCTTAGTTTCCAACAGATTTTGACACTTACTTCCAAACTAATTCCCCTATTTTTCCAACATACTTTCCTTGATTTTTTTCCTATCCTGTTCCATCTTAACATTTTCACATTTTATCCTACAGATACTGATTTATGTCCCATTCCTCTGAGTCCAGCAAGCCAGAGAAGTCAATCTTCAACACACAGCACTGTTCCACACACACGGTAGTTGCGGTTCCTTTCCCACAGCACATGATTCAATACCAAAATACATGCTTTGAGGGTATAGAAAAAGTACTGCTCAAATTAATTTTTCAAATGTGGCATATCATTTTAAACAACTATGACATATAGGTGGTAAGCAAGGATGGTAGCAACCCAAGCAAAATAAAGAGCAAGAAACCCTAGAGTTTTAAGATTTCATATCCTTCAAGCCTAAACAAGTCAAAAGAAGTAAGTTACTAATAAATAGTCTTTCTTACCCGCAGTAGTTTCATTCATTAATCGCAGGCAATTGAGACCAGCAATCTGTGTTGCATCCATCACTGACCGTCTTTCTGCATCAGTATAGAAACAAGGAACCTACCAAAAAATGTGAACCTGCATTATAAGTTTCCTTACTTTAGTTAGCAAAATCCAATACCTACAGCAATTTATTTTGTGTATGACTGCAGAAGTGTTTCAATTCAGCAGAGAAAGTATGACTATTAAGTAGCATTAGGACAGACAGCCGGGCGTTATACAACCCAGCAGATCACAATGCCAAGACCAATGTAGTGACTGTACAGAAAGTTAACAGAGGGACCAGCAGTTAGCGTAATGGCTATGTCGCTGGACTCCCACGTAGTCGACCATGGTTCACGTCCCGGAACCGGTGGCTTAAACTCACGCCAGGCGCGTGTGCGTGCGTGCCCAAGATCCTGAGAGGAGAATGGAGGAGAAGGGATTGCGGCGTGACCATCCCCCCTGGGGGATGATTTCTCGTTTTCTGTTTCTCTGTCTCTGTCTGTCTGGCGAGCGCACGCGCCCTATAGCAAAAACCTCTCAAAAAAAAAAGGACCATCAACAGAGGGAGGTGTATGAGAAAACGTCTGGAGGGAAGCTGTCCAGGCTTCCAGGGAGCAAGACAGGATATACTTAATTCCTCCATCGTTAAGTTGCAACATGAGTGTTTCCATTGGGAAAGTTTTTACTTAGCCTAGAAGTCCAGGTTTTTGTAATTCAGGGACACTGTAGGCGGTGTCAGCCTCCCAGAAGGAAGGCAGGTAATCAGCATAAAGTACGTGGTCTGTATAAGCAGCAGTGAGCCACTCTTAATCACTGTGGGAAAATCTTCTATCAATTTTCGGAACTAATTACCGGTCAAGGTCCAAGCCTGCAGTTTTTTCCAGATGTTTGCTCATGCGCCCTCTCCCTTTGCCGATGTTCCTTTTATTCTTTCACTGTAATAAACTTTAGTGTGAGTACAGCAGTATACTGAGAAATGCTGTGAACCCTCGTGAATCTCCAACACTCAGTGCATTCTTGAGGACCCCAAATGTGACTTGACACATCACCTTTAATTTGATCTCCACAACTAGAAAAGCCACCCTGAAGTTCCACCGTTGTACACATTCTTTACCTCTACACACTGAGCACAATTCAAGATGAAAAAGGAGGGCACGAGATAGAGGAAAGAGGACAAATCTTGAAGATCAATGGGAGCCTTAGAAAGGTGGGAAGAATAGGAGCTACAGTGCTCGAGCCACTTCTCTCTCTGCTCGGGCCACTCCTTCCGCTTAGGAGCGTACTTTCACTTTTACTGAATAAACTACCCTTTGTTTTTGTTATTGGCATATTTTGTTCAGTCCTTTGTCCAAAATGCCAAGAACCCAGACATTGCAAAAAAAAAAAAAAAAGCCATCCAGCAATAGTAGTATAGTGGTTAAATGCTGTGCACAGAAGCGAACCAGATCCTACATGGCCGACGACAGTATAAATCCCAGCCCAGTTAGCTTAAAAAACTGGACATGTGCTCAAAATCCTGACCAGATGAAGAAACGGAAGAAAATGGAATACAGTGAGACCACAACCCATTGTAGGGCACACTCGTGCAAGTTCTCGTTCTCTCTCTCTCTCCCATACCCTCTGACAATAAAAAATTTTAAATTTAAAAAAAGAAAGAGAGGCAAGCCAGTGGCTTGCTGGTTAAAGTGGCTGTACTCCACATGGCTGGGAGGTAAAAGAAAAAGAGCTACATACGGTGCCTGCCTTAAATCAAGGTCATTGAATCTGAGCTCTTTAAGTGACATAGCATTTATATTCTTGGCATCCACAGAATGTGGTACGTACAGCTATAATCCAGTTCTTCCCAACAAATGTCTATTCTGTTTTAATGAAAACCAAAACCGAGGACCAAGAAAATAGACACTCGGGGAAAAAAAAAAAAAAAATCACCTAATTGTCCATGAACAGTAAGATTAAACAGGTCAGGACCAGCAGATGACATAATGGTTACATCACTGGACTCCGAAGTAATTGACCACAGTTAGAGTCCCGGACCTGGTGGCTTAAATCTCACACCAGGCACATGTACATGTGTGCTCAAAATCCCAGGAGGAGAATGGAGAACTATGATCACCCACGGAGGGTGATTTCTCACTTTCTGTCTCTCCAGCAAGCATACATGCCATATAGCAAAAAAAAATTTACCTCTCTTAAAAAAAAGAAAATAGATAAAACAGGCCACAGGGCTAAAGTAACAGATTAACTAGAATGAGGGGCCTCGGTGGCAAAGTCAATAGCCACCCATGCTTCAGCAGTCCCTGCAGACTTGACCATAGTACAAGCACAAAGTTAACAAGTCGCCAGGCTTCTATATCTAAACACTGACAGGGAGAAGACGCGATGAAGCCTACCAATGCCTTGTCTTTAGTGCTCTGTATAGGCAGACAGCAAGTACAAATAAAAAGACAGCCAGAGTGAAGGAGAAGGGATTGCAGCGTGGCCATCCCCCCTGGAGGGTGATTTCTCGCTTTCTGTCTGTCTCCCTGGCGAGCGCACGCGCCCTACAGCAAAAAAAATAAAATAAAATACCTCTCCCAAAAAAAAGAAAGTGAAGCCTAGTTTAGCAAGTTCTTGAATAATCATGGCGACTAGAAACAAAATGCAACTTTACTTGCAATTAACAGTTTTCTTCTCTCCTTGCCTCTGTCCCCAAAAAGGTGTAGGGATCAAACTCACCGAAACCACACAGTCAACAACAGGCTTTTTAAGAACACTTTCTGCTGTCTCCTTCAGTTTGGACAGAAGCATGGCTGTCACCTGCTCGGTGGTAAAATTTCGCTCTTCTTCCATATATGTCACCTGCAGAAAATTAAAAAAGAAGATCTAGACTTAGTGCATTTTCTTCATGTCCAAATTCTAAATGCCTATAAAGAACAATGGTGTACATCATCAAGGAAATGTAGTCAAGAGGAATTTAAAGACAGCTAGTTCCAGAAGCAGTAATAATTTTAAGGTCAATTTTAACCTTTTAACAAGCTTTCCTAATATGATACTTATGGACAGAGGATCATGCTATCAAACAACAAAACATGAACAAGTACCTGCAGGAAGAGCAAAATGGTGTAGCTGGCCATGATCCGTATTACCCTCTAAAAGGGCTAGTGCTGGAAACTATTTTACCACCTGATGTACTATTTACCAGCCACCTCTCCATTGGGACCACAACAAATACTGGTTGATGAAAGAATGATGAACAGGGGCTGGCAGGTGGCATGGTGGTTAGGGGCACAGGATGCCCATATGGCCAATGGCAGTTCTGAGTCCCGGACTGGGCAATTTGCCTTCTCGATTTCTCTCACTTTGTCTCTCACTGGTAAAATTTAATTAGTCAATTAATTAAATGGAATGATTCTTTAAAAAAAAAAAAAAAGAATGATGCCCTACCCTGGGTAAACATCTCCAACTCTATTAAGAGTTCCAAATTTGGGGACCAAAAGGTGGTATGGTGGTTAGGGGCGCTAGACTCCCACACAGCCAACCAACCATGGTTCAAGTCCCAGACCTGGCAGCTTGCTTTCTCCCTCACCCTCTCCCCTCCTTTCCCCTCCCTCCCCCTCCTCTCCTCTGTCCCTTTCTGGTCCAATTAAAATAAGAAAGAGTTAAAAAAAAAGAGCTCCGTGTTTTTTTTTTTTTTTTTTGAGAGAGATTTTTGACGTGGGCCACTGTGTGCTCCCAGAAAGAGGAAAAAAGACAGACAGACAGACAGACAATGAGAAGCAAAGTGAAAAAATCACTCACACACACACACACACACACACACACAGGTCACAATCCCTTTTCCTTCCTTCTCCATCCAGGATCTTGAGCACGTACACACAGTGCCTGGCATGAGTTTCAGGCCACTGGGTCCAGGCCTCAAAATGCAGTCGGCCACATGGGGGTCCAGCAGCCGTTAGGCTGCGCCCTCTGCTGGTCCTAAGAATTCCGAATTGTAAATGATGAAAACTGCCCACATGCCCGTACTCGCCCCATTACAATCCATACCAGAGAATGTTGCTCTCTTTTAGCTGACCCAGCTTGAATGCCACCACCACCTCACTGCACAGGCCAACCACGATTCTCATGGCTTAGAACCTCAAATTACTTTTTGCACAATAAAGATGGAGAACAACCCTCCCAACAGGCCTCTTTCTAAATTATCCCCATCTTCCCTGCTATTTTGTGCTTAATTCGCAGTCCATTCTTTCACCCTTACAACTGGATCTACTTGTTCCTCAGATCTTTTTGCTTGGTTTGAGTTTTGCGTTGCCAGGTCCGGGACTCAAACCATGGTCAACTACGTGGGAGTCCAGTGATATAACCATTATACTACCATCTGCTGGTCCCAGATTTTCTTCCTAGTCTCTTTCTCTCCTTAGCTATTACAACGCTTCTACCTAAATCTGCAAATATCCACTCTACTTCATTCTTTCTTCCTATTATGGGGAGAGAGTGAAAAAGTAGCAAGCACCCTCAAGAGTCTGACCCTGCAACGCCCCCAACTTCAGTCTTTCACAGTCAGCTAGCATTGAGGGTGCACATACGTGTACAAGACTGACCTGAAAACTGACCTACGGTCTCCAGCACTGCAGAGCGCCACCGCACCACCAGGGCTATGCTACCGCTGCACCACCAGGCCTGGGTCCCTACCTCTTTGGTAAGTGGAAGTATTCCCTCCCTTCACTTCCTCATCACCTCCCTGTGTTCCCTTTTTTCCTTTTCCTGCACTCTGACTTCATCCCTTTCCATACCGTTCATACTGTAACATCACAGATATCCTACGGAAACCCAGTGTTCCGTCTTTAATTATCAGAAGTCTTCACTTCTAAATTCAACTGAATGCTCAGCTACTCCACCGCTTACCTTTTTCTCACAGTTCTTACCATCGCTTAGCTTTTGAGCCTGTTTCAATAGATTCTTACTTCTCCAAATTGAGTGTGTGTGACTCAAACACCAAATCCTCTCTATTTAAACTCACCTACCTGGAAAGTTCATCCACCCCTCTGGACTCCTCTTACTGTGTGAGTACTAGAGGGACGTGTGGGCAGCCTTACTCATCTGGCAGCCTCTCAAGGCTTTCATGGGATCAGTTCACTTCAAGTTGCATAAAGTGACTCCATAAGATACTGCAAAGGTCAAACTCACTTTCTCCCCAAGTCAGCAAGTAGGACTTTCTAACCAAGTCCTGCTGTATGACCTTGTATCTGACTAATGACTTAAAAGTGTTCATTCTGGGACCAAGCAGATGGCATAATGGTTACGTCGCTGGACTCCTATCCAGTAGAACACAGCTGAGTCCCAGACCCTGCAGGTTAAACATGCCAGACGCGTATGCATGCATGCCCAAAATCCTGAAAGGAGAATGGAGAAGGGATTGCAGCGTGGCCATCTCCCCTCCCCCAGGGAGGGGGTGACTTCTCACATACTGTCTCTCCAGCGAGCAAATAAAGTTAAATAAAACAATTATTACTTTTGCTCTATAGGCAAAAAAAAAAAGTGTTCATTCCTTTTCCCTTGCCTGCACTTCCAGAAGTCATTCCCTAAAATCATTTCAGAAAGGTCACTGAATCAATGAGCAAGGCAGTGTTTAACTTCAAACCATCACTCCCCAGACAACCACTCATATTAACAGTGCTACCAATTGCTCCAACTCAAAACTCAGTTCATTCAAAAATTGCCCGATGCTCTCCACCAGTAAAAGCTTTTCCTAAGAATCTTTAAGCATTTTCGTAACAACCAGACATCAGAAAGGTACTTACAAATACTGAACTAATGCAATTTTTATTTTAATAAGGTGGTAACTTCAAAGCCCTACCTTTATACCAGTTAATCCTGTGGGTAGCTGCACGATGTCATATGCAAGGTTCGATTTTTCTGCTTCCACAAATGGATCAGAGAATGCTCGGCCATGGAATCTTTTAAACCCTTGAACTGTGTTCTTTGCATTGGAAATGACCTAAGAAGAATATTGAAGAGTAAAAAGAACATCATTGAACTGTGTAAGAAAGTTTAAACAGCCTCAGATTAAATTAGCATCATTTTAACTTCCCAAAGTTTCCTTCTTGGTTTCAGTATTTTTACGACACTAACCTTTCTACACAGTGCCCACTAACATGCAAAGGAGGGATGAGGAACTTACATGGATCTCACAATGACAGAGACAAGACCAGAAACCAGACCAAGCTCTTCCTACTTCTCCATAAGGCAGGTAACCAGTCATCTCTGTTCCTTTTTTGTTGTTGTTTAAAGATTTATTTATTCTGTGACCAGCAGGTGGCATGGTGGTTAAGGCACTGGATACTCCCATGTGGCTAACCATGGTTTGAGCCCCAAACCTGGTGGCTCGCTTTCTCGCTTTCTCTCTCTCTCTCTGTTTCTATCTCTAGTCAAATTAAAATAAATGGATGAATAAATAAGATTTATTTTTATTTTTTCATTTACTTAATTTGACCAGAGGGGAAAAAAAAGTGAGAGGGACCAACAGATAGCATAATGACTACACTGCTGGACTCCCATGTAGTTGGCCACGGTTCGACTCCCGAACCCAGTGGCTTAAACTCACGCCGAGCACGTGTGCGTGCGTGCCCAAGATCCTGAGAGGAGAATGGAGAAGAGACTGCAGCATGGCCATCCCCGAGGGGGTGATTTCCTGCTTTCTGTCTATCTGGCGAGCCCACACACCCTATAGCAAAAAAACAAACCTCTCCCCCTGCCCCCCAAAAAAAACGGACCACCAGGTCCAGGACTCAAACTGTGGTCAGCCACATGGGAGTAGCCAAGGCCTTAACCACCACACCACCTCCTAGTCCCCCCCCTTTTTTTTTTCAATTTGCCAAAGAGCATGTGTGCCTGCGAGAGAGAAAAAAAGGGAAAATGTCTCTGTCTGGCGAGCACACGTGCCCTATAGCAAAATCTCTCCCAAAAATAAGAGAGAAAGACCACATTAAGTAGAAAAAGAGGAATGGGAAAGGATACTCAAAGAGTATTATTTGTAACAGCAGAAGAGTGGAAATCATCAACAAAGTATGGTATATATACCATGAGATATACAAAAAGTTTTTTTTTTTTTTTTTTCAAAATAGGAAGACAAATATCTATGTAGTACAACCTCACTTTCTTAGGTGGGGAAAAAAATGTATATGCTTAGAGTACAAAAGGTTATACATTAAAATATTTACATGACTTTCAAATTCTTTATATTTTTATATCTATACTTTCTAATTCCTCTAGAGTAAACTATATAACTTATGGAGGAAATGGTAGCAGATACTCAAAAATTCCAGAATAAACTTCTATTTATAATTAATAGGCTCAGGACCTACAGGTGGCATGATAGTTAAGGGTGCTGGACTTCCCACATGGCCGACCAAAATTCAAGTCTGGACCTTGCGGCTTGCTTTCTCATTTTCTCTCTCGCTCGCTCACTCTGTCCCCCTCTGGTCAAATTAAGAAATAAAGCTAGATAAAGTCATTCTTTAGGGACCAACAGTTGGTGTAATGGCTATGTCGCTGGACTCTCATGTAGTCAACTGTGGTTAGAGTCCTGGACCCCATGGCTTAAACTCACGCCGGGCACGTGTGCATGTGTGCCCAAGATCCCAAGAAGAGGATAGAGGAGAAGGGATTGCAGCATGGCCAACCACCTGGGGGGTGATTTCTCACTTTGTCTCTCTGTCTTTCTCTCTCTCTGGCGAGTGCACACACCCTATAGCAAAAACCTCTCCCAAAAAATAAATAAATAAAAGTTAAATAAAGTAACTCTTTTAAAAAAAATTTTTGCAGGCTCTTTCTCCTAATGCAAGAGAGGTAACAAACCTTCATAGGATATGTTACAGAGCTCTACACTGGTATGTCAGAAAGGCACACACAGAAACCTTTTTGTAAAGTCCAAAGGAGGCCTCCAAACCAGGACCTGCCTGAGTAGGCTGCCAAACAGAAACTCTGTATCACAATGCCTACCTCTACCTAGAACCGGGCAACTAGTTTAGTATAATAATTGCTCTCAATAATCAAAGTAGGTTTTAAAACAGTAAGAATTTGGCCCAGCAGGTGGTGTGGTGGTTAAAAGCACTGGATTCCCTTGGGACCAGGAGATGGCGAAAAGGCTATGTCGCTGAACTTTCATGTACTCAATCGCGGTTCGAGTCCAGAACCTGGTGGCTTATACTCACACCGGGTGCATGTGCATGTGTGCCCAAGATCCCAAGAATGGAAGAGAAGGAACTGCAGTGTGGTCATCCTCCCTGGGGAGTGATTTCTCACTTTCTGCCTCTTTGTCTCTGTCTTTCTAGCAGGTGTACAGGCCCTATAGCAAAAAGCTCTCTCCCCGCCACAAAAAAAAAAGTCAAACATGGAACAACTGAATTTTATTTATATAGACCTCTGATACTTAGAATACTTAGAACTCTCTCGGTTCTGCTGCTCTGATTACTCTGAAACCAGTAAATATGCCAGGTTCCTGGTTTACAAAATACACTAGTGGTTAAGTCCTTCAATATGCTTCCGCTTCTAGAGGTATTCCTTCCCTTAAGAAACTTCATTGGGGCCAGCAAGTGGAGTGGTGTTTATGGCGCTGGACTCCTATATGGTCGATCATGGTTCAAATCTGGAACCTGGTGATTTGCTTTCTCATTTTCCCACTATCCTTCTCTCTCTCTGGTGAGCACACATGGCCAACAGCAAAGTGAAAAATGATAACAGTAGGGGCCAGCAGATGACATAATGGTTACATGGTTACATCAATGGACTCCCATGTAGTCAATGCAATTTGAGTCCCAGACTCAGGACTCACGCAGGCAGGACCAAGTAGATGGCTTAACTCACACAGAGTCAACTGCAGTTCGCGTCCTGGACCCAGCGGCATAAACCTCACACTGGGCGTATGTGTGTGTATGTCCAGGATCCTGAGAGAAGAATGGAGAAGGAATTGGGGCGTGGCCATACTGCCTGGGAGTGATTTCTATCTTTCAGTCTCTCTGGTGAGTACACGCGCCCCCACAAGCAAAAAATGTTTAACAAAAAAAAAGGGGGGGGGGACCAGCAGTTAGCATAAGGGCTATGTTGCTGGACTCCCATGTAGTCGACCGTGATTCGAGTCCCAGACCCAGTGGCTTAAACTCACACCAGGCGCGTGCGAGCGTGTGCCCAAGATTCTGAGAGGAGAATGGTGGAGAAGGGTTTGCGGCGTGGCTATCCCCCCGGGGATGTGATCTTTTGCTTTCTGTCTCTTTCTGGCGAGCACACACGCCCTATAGCAAAATCCTCTCCAAAAAGAAAAAAGAAGGAAAAAAAAAAAAAACCTCACCCTGGGTGCATGTGTATCCACCCAAAAACTAGAGAGGTGGATGAAGAAAGAATTGTGCGTGGCCCACCCCCCAGGGAGGTGATTTCTCGCCGCTTCTCTGTCTCTACAGCGAGTGAATGCACCCTACAGCAAAATCCCTCTCTTAAAAAAAAATTAAGGGGCCAGCAGACGGTGGGGTGGCTAAGGCACTGGACACTCCTGCGTGGCCGACCACGTTTTGAGTCCTAAACCTGGTGGCTTTGTTCTCACTCTCCCACCCCCGTGTCTCTCTCTGGTCAAATTAAAATAAATGAAGGAATAAATAAAATTAAAATAAAAAAGAAACGATTCTCTTTTTAAAATAAAAAGGAATGACTAATAAGAATGACACCGACTTTAAGTATGAGTAAGATGAAGGTCTAATGAAACACACTAATCAACACTTAAAATACCAAGGAACAGGTAATCAGCAGATAGTACAATGATTTTCTCCCTGAACTCTCACAGAGTCAACTGCAGTTCAAGTCCCAGACCCAATGGCTTAAAACACGCCCAGTGAGTATATGTGCATGCCCAAGATCCTAAGTGAAGGACAGAGAAGGAATTGCGCTTGGTCTTTCCCCCAGGGGATAATTTCTCACTTTCTGTCTCTCTGTCTCTCCAGCGAGCACACATGCCCTACAGAAAAATCCAAGGAAGGGACAAAGGCTAGCAGGAGATCTGGTTAAGGCACTGGACTCCCACATGGTCGACCGTGGTTTGAGTCCCAGACCTGGCTTGCTCTCTCACTTCCCACTACCCTTATCCCCATCTCTGGTGAGCACAAGTGTTCTATACCAAATTTTAAAATAATAATAAATAAATAAACCTTTTTTAAAAAAACTACTAATGAACAAACAAGTCTTCCTTTAATGACCTGGGAAAAACACGGCCAAGCAGTTTACATTAAACAGATGATACTGCTAATGGTATGTTAAAGCTATCTGTGTTTCCCTCGAGTACATGAGAATGGGATTGGTCTCGCTCTAAGTTGTATACCTAGGTCTTACCAGTGCTAAGCGCACAAATGGGCACTCGACTAGTTACTGAACAGAAGGGGGGACAAACCAGAGAAATAAATCATTTTAGGGGAAAAAAAAAAAAAAAAATTTTACCTGACTTTTAGCTGCTGCTCCAATTGAACGATTCTTAGGACCAAAAGAAATGCAAGCCCTGGAAGATAAAACAAACATTTAAGAATCAAAAACTGTATTGCAGTATCCCATCCAAAACCAGAACAGACAAGACACCCAAGTCTGAGCTAGGAAAAGTCACGTTTACAGAATGCCACTGCCTACGATTTTGACTTTTCTATTTAGTGAAACCACCGCTCGGGATGAGTCTTGTTAGGCCAGCAGGTGATGTGGTGGTTGGGAAAGCTGGATCTCACATGGCTAACTGTGCGGTTAAGCCCCAGGCAAAGCAGCTTGAGAGAGACACTGCATGCCCAGGGTCCTGAGGGGAGGGAGAAGTGAAGAAAGGACTGCCCTCTGTTTCTCCCTCCAGTGACCATCCTAAACCTCTGGGAAAAAAAAAAGTTTATTTCATTTTTATTTATAACAATTATTATTATTTTACTATAGGGGACACACACTCACCAGAGACAGACAGAGGTGGGAGAGTGAGAAGTAAGCTGCCAGGTCTGAGACTCAAACCACAGTCTGGCCAGCCAGGTGGGAGTCCAGCACCTTATCTACCACACCACCCTGCTGCCCCCACCTCTGGCAAAGTTAAAAAAAAAAAAGAGGCTCGTCATTCAAATGTTGGAGCACAAGTCTGATGTCATAACTACCTGTCTAGAATATTACAGAGAGTTGGACTGGCAAGTCTCCACCATCCTCTAATTCTTCAAGGATCATGTTCAAAATACCAGTAAAAATTAATGTATCACCATATTAACATGCCATTTAAAAGTTGTTCTTGTATTTAAGACAGCTTGTAACTTCACCGAGAATATACCTTATAGAGTAGTGGGTGGCGTGGTGGTTAAGGCACTTGGATACCACATGGCAGACTCCACTGTTCAAGTGCTGGAACTGGAGACCTGAAAACATGCTGGGCATGCACGCATACCCAAAATTCTGAAAGGAAAATGAGAAGGGACTGTGTCGTGACCAACCCCTTGAGGGAACAATTTCTCACTTGCCCCCTCTCTCTCTCTGGTGAGCACATATACCCTATGACCAAAAGAAATAAATAAATAAATAATAAAGAATGTTCTCCACAAATCCTATTATGTTCTTAAATAAAAAATCATTTTTTCTGAAAGTAGTTTCCAAGGACTCAAGAATTTCAGACAAGGAACTAACTATATTCTCACTTTTAAACGTTCTTCCTTCCAATCACCACTTGATAGTGTCTGCTGGTTTGATCTGATGTGCTGCTGCTTTTAGAGAGCAAACTATTTCACATTAAAAAGTTAGTTTTGGGTTGAACCCGTTCCCACGTAGCAGACTGCGGTTCAAGTCTTGGACCCAGTGACTTAAAACTCACACCAGGCAAGCATGCATGCATGCCCAAGATCCAAAGAGGAGAATGGAAGAGAGATTGCAGTGTGGCTATCCCCCTCCTGGGGGTGTGTGTGATTTCTCACCCTCTCTGCACCAGCACCTCACCACCCCACCACTTTACTCACACCCCCCTAAGCACACGCAACTAAGGCAAAGACATCTACAAAATAAAAAATAAATAAAAATAAAAGAAGGAAAAAGAAAAAAAGAAAAGGAAAAAGGGAAAGAAAGAAAAAGGCAATGATATTGGAACTAATACCTTGGCTCTGGGACCCCTATGCTTCCCATTTTTCATTCTAATCCCTCTTGAGCCTCAGCACATGTTCTCATTTTTTAATTAATTTATTCATTCATTAATTTTAATTTGACAGAGAGAGAGAGAAGAAAAGTGAGAAAGCAAGTCACCAGGTCTGGGACTTGAACTGTGGTTGACTATGTGGGAGTGTCCAGTACCTTAACCAGCTTTTAACCACCCCGCCACCTGCTGGTCCCCAACCTCATATTCTCTTTACTCACATTTATTTATCACTTCCCTTTTCCAGCAGATGCTTTGTCTCAACCTAAAATAAGATCAAACTCATTCACATTACCCAAAAAACCCTAAAAGACCAACTTTTCCTGGAGTCCATAGCCCTTCAACCTAGTAAGTATTCTCTTCCACTTACGTTAATGACAGCATCAACTGCTTATAATACTATCCCATTTCATTCTTTTTGTTTGTTTTTTCATTTATTATCATAACCTTGTTTATATTACATTGAATCACATATAACTTTACATTATATTACATTTCTCCCATTTAATTCTCAGAAGAACCCTACCTTAACCTTATTTAACAGGAGAGAAAACTGAGACTAAAAGATATTAATAAGAGCCAGCAGGTGGCATGATGGTTAAGGCGCTGGACAATCCCATGTGGCTGACCACAATTCGAGTCCCAGACCTTGTAGCTTACTTTCTCTCTGTCACTCTGGTCAAATTTAAATAAAATGAATGAATAAATAAAATTAAATAAATAGTTCTTAAAAAAAAATAAAAGATATCAGTAAGTAAACTTACCGAGCATCAGGCAACCTGAAAGCGAGAAGTCAAGGTTCTGATCATGTTTCCATGTGTGGTCTAACTCTTAATTCTTTCAGTATAGCAGAGTTGGGTAAGAATACAGTCTCTGGAGCCATGCTGTGGCTCAAATCTAACTACACAAGATAACCCATTAATATTTATTTATTCATTCAGTAAGTGCTGGGAAAGTGATAGGAAGTGCTAGGAGTAGCTCCTCTAAAAGCACAGGTACTAAACTCACAGCCTTTCTACAAACATGCCACCCATCACTGAACTAAATAAAATCTCTGAGTAGCACTCCAACTTCTCTGTAACAGCCCATCTCTCCTTTAGGAAGGGCTCAAAACAATCTTATTCTTCCACATCCTCCCTCTACTCCAAAAAGGCTGCCTGACCTGTGCCTAATAATTGTTAAACCCACATCCTTCTAAAACCAACACATCTGGCCCACGTGCAATGGCACAAGCAAGAGGATGCCAGATCCAAATCCTAGGTCCACCTGAATGCACAGGGCACACTGCAGGGAGCACACCCGTGAACTTGGCTACAGGGCTGGAGTAAGCTGGTAGTGTGAAGACCCTATCTAAGGTGTGTATCTCTCTCTGTCTCTAGATTAAAAACTGGAAAGAAAAAAGAAAAAGGGACCAGCAGGTGGCGTAGTAGTTAAGGCACGGGACACTCTCATATGGCTGTCCATGGTTCAAGTCCCAGACCTGGCGACTTGCTTTCTCACTTTCCCTCTCTCTTTTTCTGTCTGTCTCTGTCTCTCCAGCAAGCTCAGGCACCCTATAGCAAAAATTTATCAAAAAAAAAAAAAAAATTACTACAGGGACCAGCAGGTGGCATGGTAGTTAAAGCACTGGCCACTCTCACATGGCTGATCATGGTTCCAGTCCTAGACATAGTGGC